TCTTGGGTCTTGCCAGCCTCGCCCAGCCAATGCCGGCGGGCAGCGACGCTCCTGGTCTCAGCTGTACGTTCACGTTCCACTCCTGCGGTGCACAGCTCGGGCTGGAGGGGGCGCCAGGAGCCCGGGCGCTAGGTACTTGGGCTCAGCGAGGCTCCCAGCCTCGCGCCACCGCTCGCGCCAAGCCGGGAGGCCGCTTCCCCTCACCCCTCCCGGAAAAGTCCGCAAGGCGTCTGCGGCCTAATGAATGAAGAGGCAGGGACGGACACCCCGCATACCCATAGCTCAGCGGAGTGGCAGCGATTGAAAGGCAGTCACCTAGGGCCCAGGGGCTGGGAAGGCCTGTAGAGGGATCCAAGCTTGCAGGAAAGAGCAAGTTCTCTGCAGCTGGGGCCAGATCCTGGCCCTTACACGGGTAACCCACTTCCAGAGACATTGTCTACTTTCTTCCCCCAGACTCTCTCCAAACCTGCCCTCCAGTCCCTCCTTCCCCCACTATTCTGGGATGACTGGTTAGAAAGTAACAATTCCCTAGACAAAGTAACATTGTTTTCAAATATGTTTGCTGTAATTTTTATATATGTTTTTCTGCCTACCCTGGTGACTCCCTCCCTTTCCACCCTCTCTTACTCTCTCCTGGGTCCCAATCTCAAACTGCTGCCCTCCTCCCTCAGACCATCTGACTTTCTTCTTCCCTCTGACCCCGTTCACCTAATTGGAATCAGGCCCACCTGGGTTCCAACCTACTCATAACCTGAGCAAGGTACCAGCCTTCTTCAAGGCTGTTTTCTTGTCTGTAATTTGGGGATAGCAGTGCCTCCTTGCTTGGGATGTGACAAGTGTTAAGGCTGTACTTCTGGAAAGAGTTGTCTTTATAGTGGTCTCTCCATTTTATCACCTCTGGCCCTCCTCGGGCCATGCTAACCCAGCTCTTGATCCCACCATCCCACTGAGCCTTCTTCATCCAAGGACACCTACGGCCTCCAATTGTCAGACTCAGTCACTGGCTCCCTTCTGACTTCCTCTCCATTAGCTCCTTGGTATCCAGGGACACCACCCTTTCCTGGTTTTCCTCCTTCCTCCAGAGCACCCCTTCTCAGAATTCTGTACACTTGCATCAACAGGCTTCCTTTCCCTCTGGCTTCCACTGGGGTTGGCTGATGGGAGAGAGGAGCATGAGGTCAGCATGTTCATCTCACGCCCCCTCCCTCAATTGGATGCAGTTGGCTGTGTCCCTCCATTGCAGGTTGCAGCTCTGTACAGCTCTCTCTCTCTCTCTCTCCAAGGCCGAGGAGTGGTTAACAGCTCCCGGCTGTTGCTAACTCAGGGTGTGCACAATGCTTTTTTTTTTTGTAAACCAACTCTATTAAGTTCTCATCAATTACTCAGTTTCAGCACATGGCCTCTTTCCTGCCAGCACTGGGACCCTGACAAATTCCAATCTCATGCTTTAAACACCATCGACATGCTGATATCTCCCAAATTTACATCTCTAGCTTTGACTTCTCATCTGGATTTTGGACTCACAGCCAACGGTCTGCTGTCTAATAGATATGTCAAATTGTACACTTTCGAAACTGCACTTGGTTTCCTCCGACCCTACTCCTCCTCGCTATATATGACAACTCACCCGTTCTGGTTTTCATGCCCCAAACCCAGGAGTCAGCCTCATTTTCTTTGTTTCCCTCAGCACCCCCTCCAGTCAATCCGTCTGTATATTGAATTGCTATCGGATTTGTTGGCTGTGCCTCCACAACGTATTCTGAGTCCATCCACTTCTTTCCACTCTAGTCCCAGTCACTTCACCTTCCTCCCCTGCCCCTCCTCCCCCAAACTTAGAAGAGAAACCCAAACTCGCTGCGCAAGCCCAAATGCCCACTTATCAGATCTCATCTTCTGCCATTCTCCCCCTCAGTCTCTCCTCTGTTTCAGCCTCCATGCTTCCCTCAAACCACCCACTGTGTTCCCACCTCAAGACCATTGCACTTGTCTTTCCTTCTGCTTGGAACAACTCATCACATGGCTGGCTTCTACTATTCAAGTCTGGGCTCAAATGTCACTTATTCAGACAAATGCTCCCTGATCATCTAGCCTACATCACAAACAGCCTTTCTCCATAACCCTACCCTGTTATTTTCTGTAACTCACCCTACATTGCAGTTATCACCAATTACCTTTCTTTCTTTGTTTCTCTGTATATTATCTGTCTCCCCCCACCAGAAAGTGAGCTGCATTACAGCCTTTTCGGTTTGTCTTGCTCGCCTCTATACCCAAGTCCCCATGCCTGGAACAGTGCCTGACACATAGCAGTTACTTAAGAATTATTGAATGATATTTAGTAGGACTACGCCAATGCTGAGAAGAAAGAAAGAAATCAGACTTGGAAGTCGCAGTTGGGCTTGGGAGACAGACACAATTATAAACAGAACAGTCTTGCCTTAAAGTAGAACCCAGGACAAGAATACAAAGGGAAGCCTATGTACCATACATCTAAATTGTTAACAGTTATAAAATTGTTAACCGAACAATAAAAGGCAAAGCGAGAGGCAACAAGCATTTATCTGAGATCCAAAAGAATAGTTATTTGGGAAGCACTGAAATCCAACCAGTGTTCGGATTAGGAGACAGAGGGTATTTATGAGAAAGAGAAGGGAACATTTACATCAGTAGAAAGAAGGCATTTCTTTTGGTGTAGAAGAGCTAACAGTGACTCTAATTCTAAACAATGTTTTAAATTTTTGGTTAGTTTAAATTTGCGATAGTTATCAGTCCAGTAGTCATATATCTGCTTTTCTGTTATTCTTGCAAACAGTCCTTTGGTGCCGGCACAATGTTACTTTAGGCCCAGTCCAAAGGTTATTTTGCCAGTTTTAATGTTTCAAAGGTTTGAGGCATAAGACATGCGAAGCAGTTCCTCTGGGAATGGCAGCTCTGATTCCATCTTAAAGTGACTCCATTGATAGTAGTATTTACAAAATAAAACTACAAGCAATTAAATAAAATATATTATCTTCTCCAAAAGGTGGAAACAACTCATTTGTCCATTAACAGATAAATGGATAAACAAAATGTGGTCCAGCCATGCAGTGGAATATTATTTGACCATAAAAAGGAACGAAGCACTTATTCATACTACAACACTGTGCTGACTGAAAGAAGCCAGACACAAAAGCCATATGTTGTATGATTCCATTGATATGAAATGTTGAGAACAGGCATCTTCATTGAGAAAGAAAACAGATTGGTGGTTGCCAGGGAATGGGGGAGAGGGAATAAGGAATGACTGCTGGTGGGGACAGGATTTTCCTTTTCGGGTGATGAAAAAATCCTGGAACTAGATCGTGTCAATAGCACAATATTGAATTTACTAAGTGCCGCTAATGATAAATTTTATTTGTATTTTAACACAATTAAAAATGAATTTAAAAAATATGTTCTCTCTTTCTTTCATGGCAAATATATTTTCAGAATGATCTAGAAGGCCAGGTTTAATTGACAACATTTTGAATACATAGGAGTTTTGTACTAGAATGTGTGTTACAGGGAAAACCCAGCCCTCAGCCTTGCCGCCTTTGCTTCCCACCTCCAGCTCTGCCCTGCATAGCAAGGAGCCTTGTTCATGCACCTGGGGACCCCATCCTACATGTCCAAGCTCTTCCCTTACCCCTCTCCCAACAGCTGTCCTTGGCCACTTCTGAGGTGGGGGAGGGGCACACCCTGGCATGATCCACCTTCAAGAAACCTCAGGCCTTCTCAGTGAGCTCACGACCCCTGGGGCAGGGAATTTGGGGGTTCTGAGTACCCTAAGTAGGATCTAGAAGAAGATAGTCGCCGACCTCCTCAGAGAATGACGCCTCCACTTGGCACCCCAGACACCTCAAGTCCAGCTGCCCATCAAGGTCCCCCACATGCAAGCATCTTTGCACACCACACATGCTGGCTACTCTTACACACTACTTACTGCTCTTCCTTCTCAGAGCTTGGCTCTGGGTGGGGAGGGACTGATCCAGCTGGAGGATTCTGAGCATCATGAGAATCAGATGTAGGTGGGCATGTTCCCTTTGCCCCATGGGGAGGATCTCAGCAGGGAGTGCAGGACAAGGCCCCTTCTCCTTGGGATTCATGTCTTAAAATTGCACTGTGACCAGGGCTGTGATGGGGGAGGCACTGGAGACTGTGGGAGACCAGTCGAGAGAGTAGACTATTTCCCCAAAGGGTGGTTAAATGAAACATGAAGTCAGCTGAGAAAGGGGCTGCTGGCACTTTAAGAACGGCATAGGAGGACAAAACAGAGATGCTCAAGATTTGGGTGGGAAGTTTCTGGACTTTCCTCATCACCACCCCACCTCTAACTGTTATAGCAATTAAGAGTCCAGGGTCCTGGAGGCCATTGGATTTAATTCTCCCATTTCACAAAAGGGGAAACTGAGGCCTAGAAAGCTAGAGCATTACCCACAGTTACCCAGAGCCTGGGTCTTCTGATTCCCATGTTGCTCAGAATCCTCCAGCTGGATCAGTCCCTCCCTCCCCACCCAGAGCCAGGGTCTGAGAAGGAAGGGCAATAAGTAGTGTGTAAGAGTAGTCAGCATGTGTGGTGTGCAACGATACTTGCATGTGGGGGACCCTTGATGGGCAGCTGGACTTGAGGTGTCTGGGGTGCCAAGTGGAGGCGTCATTCTCTGAGGGGGTCGG